AGCCTGTTAATTCTTCTTGACGGGAAAAAGGCAAGAGCAAAGCGTCAGACAAACAAACAAACAACCCTTCGGGATTTCACTGGCGCCGCCTCAGCAGGGGTCGGCGGATGGACATGGGTGAGGCAGCGTTGCTTGTACTCTGAGGTGCTTTTCAACCGAAGCAATGTGGAGGGTTTCTTTCACATTTGGGCGGAGTTAAGCAAGAGGCCACGAAATGCCACGGCACGGGCCACATGTCAGAACCATGCAGCCAGGCGGCAGCAGTCCACTTCTTCGGCTGATGGCCTCACCGGCTCGGCTTTACTTCAGCGTCTCGAGGGTCCTGGCACAGGCTTGCTTACACAAGGGCTGGAAGCTCGAAGCATATCAGTGTATGTGGTTGTGCTGCGCAGGCGCAGCCTGTGCTTTCAGCGTAATGGGGCAATTGTTCTCGTTGGCCTCATATTGTCGGGCACTGCTAGGGCCTGCTAGGGGCCGGGCTCCGGCTGGCTGGTGTGCTTGTGTTGAGTCCCTCAGGATCTTTGGCCTTTGAGTGTAGGACTAGACTAGACTTCTGCCGCCAAAGGATGCATGCACGGTACTGCACAGTCACGGTCTCCCAGGCGTGGAGAAGATATCCGAGCGCACGCTTCTAGCAGTGGCAGCTCCGAGGCAGGCAATGCGAAAGACGCAGACTCTACGACCCGCCAGCCCTGTATTGGCCAAGACTTCACCTGACACTTGCAGCAGTTTGCCAGTGGAGAGTTGCAACGCTAAGCTAGGACACGCTGAACTCAGCGTGGTTGCAGGTTGAGGGTCATGTTGTTGCTGTGGCGCTGGAAGCTTGGATCGACCGGGCTGATCTGCTTGTGTGCGCATTTGCCAGCGGTTCAATGCCAATCCGCTTGAAGTGTCGCTGATTCACAGGCATGGGAGCTGATCTGGAAGCTGCCAACAAAGAGACGCCGAAGGCAAACGGACTTGAGTTGATCTGGCGGCCGCGGAGATCTCGGAAGGTCACGGAAGCAGCTGCGACTCAAGCTCGAGTCGCATCCTCAGCCTGGCTGCATCTGGCTGCCTTCTGGGCCACAAGACACAAAGCAAGCTGAGGTTGGCAAAGCTTTACGTTCTCAGCTGCTGCTCAGGCCATGCCAGCATTTCCAGCTATGTTTGCATGCGGTGTGGAAGCACTGAGCAGCACCTATCAGCACAGAAAAAAAGCGAGAGTGCTTGATGAATTGCCCTGCATCAGTCTTTGCAGTACTTGGCATGTGGTGTTGCCTGTTGCGGGGGCAATACAGAGCCGAAGAGTTGCGAACTAGCGACACAGCGCGAGTTTGCACAACAGTCCTGGTAGCCGCCTTAAACTGGCGAGATGGGGCTCGGGGGTGCTTTAGTTTCAATTTGTGGGGGTTACGGAGTTGTGGAGACGGGAGCCTCATCTGATAAAGCCACCGAACAGACCTCAACAGACAGGGCGCGCCCGCACGCGGGGGGGGGGGAGCGTTGCTGCGATTTCTCCTTGACTGTGTGGAGGAAGAAGAGAGAGTGCTTGCTTGCTTGCTTGCTTGCTTGCAAGAGGATCTGACCCGACCCTGTCGCTAATGTCCGAAATCAGCAGCTGGTGGCACTTGATTGCCTTTCGTAACGAGAATCAAGAAGACGGGCAGACCAGCCAAAGAAGAACACAACAACAAGGGGGGTGCAGGACTGCTGCGCAGCACGTTCGGCCAAGTGGCTCAGTCTCGTTTGCTTCATCTGTGCGCGGCCTGCATCAGTCTGTGCATTGCAGCGTATAGAACCTAGGCAAATCGAGTGCTCTTTGGTTGCTTCAAGCTTGCGGACCTGGCGTCGCAACATCACCGAGTGTGACGATGCATCTCGTTCCGCACGGTCACACACGAGCAGCATGCTGCATCGTCTGATCTGGACAGTGGGCAAGTCACAGGTATCGCTGGCGTGGAAGCACGAACAGGAGCTTTGTCAACTCGTCCATAGGCTCGACGTCCCAGAGGTTGCAGTTGATCTCTGCATGTCTTCATCTCTATGTGCATATAGTACTTTACAGGATCTAGCTACGCAGAAATCTAGCTTAGTACCTGCTGTGAGATTCGGCTCTCTGATCTCTAAATCTTCGGTGAGTAAGATGTCGCAAGTAGTAGCAGGCTTGGCCAATCGCCAAGAGATCATACAGGGAGATTCGGGTCTATCTCGCAAAAGAAAGTAGCTATGTGATCCCATGAGAACAGCTTAGCGCAGATTTGAAGTGCATCTGCTGTGGCCTTGATAAGGCGGAGGCTTGTTGCAGAGCAGCGCAGCTCTGCTTGGCAGGTCTGGGGCTTGCAACTGGAGTGCCCCAAGAATTCAGAAGTGAAGTGCCAGGCAGCTGCTCAACATCAACTGTTACGACCTGATTCCCTTGATTGAATTTGCTGTACTTATTGAAGTCAGCTTTCAGGCTTTGCCGTTATTTCTGCAGCTGGGCGACGTGCCTTGCCGCAGCCGCAAAACAGCGCAGGCCTCTCACCGACCGGAGACTTTTTCTTGTATTGAGGAATCAGCATGAACCAGAACATGCTTCGGCAGCAGCAACAGAGAGAGAAGAGAAATCATAAGATAACAAGGACAGCTAACTGAAACAACCGCGGCCGCCACCGACCACGACCACAAGAACAAGGACACGGAGAGGACAAGGACGATGACACCGGCAGCAGCAGCAGGCGCCATTGCCCCCGCTACTGCTACCGCCGCCACCGTGACCGCCGCCGCCACCACCACCACCACTACCATCATCATCATCACTATCATCATCATCATCATCATCATCATCACCATCATCACTGTCACCCAGCACCGGCACCAAGCACCAGCACCAGCACCGCTATCACCGGCACTGGCACCGGCATCGGCGGCACCACCTCTGTCGTCCTTTGTCGCTCGGCACCCGACCGTGCCACACAACGCTCGATTGAGCACAGAGCCAGGCACAGACCAAGACTTGTTCGACAAGTGAACGATTTCGGCTTAGAAGCAGTGTTCGTGTTTTCCGATCCGAATCATGCTTCTGTCTGTGCAGGATTGATGTCGAAGTAGCGCGGCATGGCCAGGCTCCAACAGAAAGCCATGACGGACCATAAATGTCTAGATAAGGTTCCAGCCTGTGAGATAATCAAGGAGGGCAACTTTTATGTGTGTCAGCCAGAGCAATGTGATGTGAATGTTCTTTGTGCCCGAGGCCTCAAAAAGCAAGCCGCCGAATGTGTAGGTGACATTCTCAGATTGCTGGAACTTGGCGAAGGATCTTTCGTGTGGACGGGGTATCCGGGGCTACTGTCTGAGCTAGTGGTAGCGGTGGTCTGCACCTGCAGCAAAGCACTCTGTTGCATGCTTGGTTTTACGGCTTCCTTGAGTGCACGTTAAACATGCCCAGTCATTTTCCGAGCCGCTGGAGTGACCAGGGAGACTACATGACCTGCAAACCGCAAGTGCCCAAGCTTTTGTCGAAGTGCCGGGACACATCTCGATCAGTTGCTTCACGCACCCTTGAGGTAACTGGCAGCCTAGAGCCGGCCTCAGAAAGGCCACTACTGGGGCCCATGTGGGTGGACTCTACATTAAGGCTGGCGCCACACACCTGTCATCAGCAATCCGTCGCAGAATGCGAATCGCAAGCTACTTGGAAGTTCGATTCTGAAGGCTTGAAGGTTATTGCACCGATGCGTAGTGCCGAGGCTCTGTCCTTTTTTCGCAAAAACTTGGGTTGCGCAGAGGCGCCGTGGACACCATGCTTCGACTCGTCGACTGCTTCAGCCATCTTCGTGGTGTCAGGCTGAGTCGGACGTCTGCGAAAAGCTCCAGGCAGGGCTGTGACAACCGCGAGGGTAGGAGTAAAATCGCAATGTTGTGGTAGAAAGTATCAGGCCGCACGAGAATCTTGCGCGAGCCTCGTCAGTCACCGACGCAAGATGGAGGCCCGAGGTCTGTTGCGGATGTTGCGGTCGCGGAAGAATTTGCTCGGCCTTGGTTCTGCCTGGCAGGATTGGTTTGCACACAGCTGAGTGTGCTGAGTCCAGGTGCGATTTAGGAGATCGTCTGAGCATCGCTTCAGGTGCAGCAGCACCACTCGGTCGTTGCAGCTCGACAAGCTGCACAGCAGGCCAGACGGAGTCGGCACGCTGCCTTTGGCCTGGGGGCCTCCCGGTACGGTTCTGGAAGGTTGCCAGAGCCTGGGCTGTCTACCTCACGCTCAAGCTTTTTCGAAGTGTGGTCGTGTCGTGGCGGATCAGCTGTGAGCTTGGCAGAGCAGCAGTGGGTCTCGAAGTGTCGGAAAGCCATGGGCTGAGTTGTAGCTTCGGCGCCCAGGCACCTTGAAGGCAGCCCTTGAAAGGGAAAGACAGTGGCAGGATAGTTCTGCTGCTAAATCTCGACTTCTCGCGTTGTTTGGGGAGGGCTCAGGATTTGTGGACGTTTAAACATCTTTAGAGAGGCTTTTGCGGAAAGGGTTCAGGTTTGGGTGAGTGCAGGGCGATAGTGGGGGCGGGCAATGTGGCTAAGGGAGGGGCTCGGATCCCTCGTGCTCAGCTCGCGGGATTTGTCAAAGGCTCTTATTACTATCTTAAGTCCTCTGAATTATGGGAGTCCCGTTGCGCAGGGCACAAGCGGTTTCATGTTTGAGTGAGACGGATTGATTCGCGGCGTGCAAGGAGGATGGTTTCTGGCTGGTTCAGGATTTAGCTATCCCCACACAGCTAACACACAAGGGGGGCCTGCCAGTACAATTACATCGCCATGGGTTTAAATGCGTAACAGGGAGGGGAGTCAAAACAACACGCAACACCACATCAGGAAGACAAACAACTCTGGGCCCTGGCAGGACATGCAGCACAAAGCCAAGGCCGCTCCCGAGTGCATCAAGCCTCGAAGTTGCATTGCTCCAGCTGGAGGATACCTCGGACTCCGTGGAGAAGCAGCGTGCCGCCCAAAGCAAAGTTGCAGAGGCCGCTACAAGCACAGCCTCGTCTTGCTTCCTGGACTGTGAAGCAGGTGATGGTGAAATCCTTGGACGAAGGAAGCTTGCGCCTGATCTTTCTCCGCTGGCACCGCCTGGCCTTCAAGGACCGTGTGGCCTCTGCCTCTGACGGCCTCTCTGACCGTTACGGGTGGCGGTGCGCTGCTGTGTCATGCTCTGTGCTTCATGGACAGGAGAGGCGCCAGAAACAGATACTCCTGTTTCGTCAGGAGTCAGAGGCCGTCGGGATCATCTTTTGTCATGCCAGATTGGTCTCCAAGCAAGGGGTAGGCCTCGAGGCATCAACGAAAATCAAACCCGGATCAAAGGGCAGGTTGGGATCAAAAAGAAATCAAACATCAAACAGGGATCGACAACCTATCAGCTGCAAACCACAGTATTCGAGCCATATTTCAGAACGGCTCTTTGCATCTGAACTGGAGATCTCGATGTTCGGATAGAGTGGCTCTATTGGCATTGCGTTTACTGTTCCTGTTACTGTTGCTCTCACTCGTGCTTTTACGATGTATTTACCACTGTTCGGGCCAGTGCAGCAGGAATGAACAATGCGTTATTGCAACGATTAGTGCGATTACTGTTGCTATTCCTATGCCTTTGATGAGGATGATGGTGATGGCGATGACGATGATTTGTTTGTTTGTTTTTGTTGTTGTTGTTGATGATGATGATGATGATGATTGCTATTACTGTCATGATTGTTATTCATGCATTTTTTTCGGACTGTTGTTTTGATTTCGATTAGTGTTTGACACACGAATACTGTTCTCGCTTTCAGCGTCACTATTGCCTGCCACTCTGCCCCTGGCACCGTTTTTCTCTCCCCACACGCCCCCACCCCCACCAAGAAAACAAGATCTCCCAAACTTCAACGACCCACAGTGCTGCGACGCTGGTTGGACAGCAGGAAACCGTATCCCTCGGGTTGTGTTTGGGTGTTTTGATCCCTGTTTGGTTTTCTGGTTTGATCCGAAAGTGGCTAATCCTGCGATTTCCCTCCAACAAGAGATATGACATTTTGATTTCTTGTTGATCCCTATTTTGATTTGTTCTTGATCCCAGACATGTGATTTGTTTTCCATCCCTCAGCCTCCAGACAAACTGGTACTCCTTTCAACCTCTAGTTGCTTGAGCCGCGTGTGCTCCTGCGTCAGACAGTGATTTGCAAGTCGCTTGCAGGCCAGGCTGGAGGTGCGGCGGCGTCAACAGAGCCAGGCTGAGCTGACCACAGCAAGGCAGCTGGTGCATTTCCTTCTGAATGCACCATCAGTGTCACTGCAGCACTTCAGGTACCGTGAGCATGCTTTTGCCTCGTTCACCGCAGCGGGACTTTGGCCCAGTGCAGAGTCAAAGCAGTGAAGGCTGGACTGCTGACTTCAGTTCCAGTTGTTCATTGAGGATCCGTGGGATCGCCAAGCTGGCTGCGGCTTTTTCTGTGCAGATCCCAGACGTGATAATGATGTTTGATGTTGAAGGCATTTGCTTGTTCTGCATGCCATGTCTTCCAGTTTTACTAGATCCTCGATCGTCTCGATGCCCTCCGACTTAGCTTATCTCGAGAAATCGAGTATTTGCATTCTGCGGCACTGGGCACGGCTCCCACAGACTTGTCTGACTCTGAACTTCCGACTTGCAAGGCAGAGATGCAAGCTAAACTTGTTTCAACTTTTGGCTACAGTTTCAGGTGGGATTGGAGGCGAGCTGTCACATCAACCACATCCAAGCGAATCCTTCGCAAGTGTCTCAGATTTCCATTGGCCAGATGTTAGTATGAGTTGTGAAGACAAGTGAGCCGGCAGGCTTGTGGCGTATCATAGCTTCCATGGAGATCTTCAAATGCAAGCGCTGGCCCGGTTCTTATACTGTCTTGGACTAGGACATAAAGGCGACCAGCTTGCCTCAACCAAAGTGAGTTATCCGTGCTACTCCGATCAGAAGCTTCATGCGGCTGCAATCGCACAGGCTGCTCAAGATGCCATCACCAATTCATTGGGACTTCTTATCTCAGCTCAGCTTTTCCTGAATCGTTCTAAATCTTCCAATCCAGCGTGCAGGCATTGCCCATCGTGGCTTATTTAGAGAGGGCGCTGGCGACGTGACAGGATGCCACAGCTAGCCGTCCTGATCCTAACCCACGTGCACGTTACTGAGGCTCTTGGAGTTCTGCGTGCAAGTCTGGGCTGCTCTCACTTGTGGTTCTGCGCTGCAGGCAGCCGCAAGCCCAGTGTGATCTGCGTTGTATTCGATGCCTTGACAGGCAATGAACTCAGAATGGCTCCGGAAACGACAGCGCATTCGCAAGGAGGATGGGAAGTTGTGTTTTTTTGCGCATTTACGAGAGTCTCAAGTAGAAGGACTTTTGGTAGTCCTGGAGCCACAGATCGTGAGGAGAACATGTAGGTCTTCTACGAGCAATAACATAATTCACAAGGTCGTGCTCATCGTCTCCGTGTGTTCGTCGCGCATGACTCGGGATCCGCGGCTCTTGATGATGATGGTGATGATGATTACTTCATATGATGATGATGATGATGAAGATGAAGATGAAGATGAAGATGATGATCTTCTTCTTCTTCTTCCCTCGCCGTAGAGTAATCCACGATGCGCTGGAGCGACGGATTGACGTCCGCCGGCGCCCTTGGGGCACGCCGTTTGGCCTCCTGAACTCTCCTATGACGATGCCATTTGCAAGTAGTAAATGGTATAATGGAAGTAAAGAAATGCTCTCAAAGCATAATCCTGTGGCCTAGAACATTTAGTCTTGTCTTGTTCCCCATTCCCGGCTGTCCGGTTTACCCCCGGAACCCAAAGGAGGGCAGCAGCTACACAGGAATGGGGATCAAGATTTGCTATCAAGTGATCACGCTACCCGAACTTACTGCAAATAAAAGTTGGATAGAGCATGGCATCCGAAAGCATTCAAGGTTAAAAGCCGTCCTCGACTGATGGGCAACAATTCAGCCAGCCCGGAAGCCTCGCCCCGAAGGGCCCATAAGCAGGCTCATCCGTGCTGTTCCGAGAAGCAGGTATACAACCGAATGTAACAAAAGGGTAACTGGAGGATGATGTCCAACAAGCTACAGATCGAAGTTGCCACAAACTGTGCTGAGTCAAGGACGAAGACAAGGGCTACTGCAGAAAATGTCAGTCAGGCAGTCTTGGTCAGGCAGAAAATGTATGAATTCGAGTACACTACATTCACTACATTGAGGTACTGCACTGGCACTGGTTGAGCAGTCTTTCCATCATCGGTGATGAACAAGACTTTGCCTCGCTTGAGGAGGGCCGCACGATAATGCCCGGAGGTAGTCGATCGTCCCAGGTGAAATATGATGCTTTGGACGGTATACTTGGCCCTTAGGGTGGAGTTGCCGGGTCCTACGAAGTAGGGGAAGTCAACCGTGAAAGGGGGCATTATGGGACCATCTAGCTTATCACCCCTATCTGTGAATCGCGCTACCTGGAGCAAAAGACACTGTGGCGGCCCATCAGTGGCAGCAAAAGTCAATGCCTGCCCGTCATGAGATTGATGGGTCCATTGCTCGACAAGATCTTGCAACCGGTTTGATCTCGCACCTGTGCGTGTGCAAAGCCGTGCTGACAGCGGCAGTGGCCAAAAGGAGCCAGCATCTGTGACCTCAGAGGGTAGCTCGGGGGTTGGGGGTTGGGGGTTGGGGGTTGAGGGTTGGGGGTGCACTTCGGGCCTCCCATTCAACACGCAAGGCTTGCTGGATGAGGTGGGGACTGATGCTTTGCAAAAACTCAGCCGCGTCTTGCTGTCCTATTGCACGCCAGGGCTGCACTGCTTGCTTCCAGGATGAAAGATGCCACAGATGACACATCCTGCCTCGGCAGCCTAACACCTGCTGCAGTGATTGCCGAAAGGATGCTCGAGGCGGATCGATGGCTGTGTCAGCCTGCACAAACAACCAAAGGACGGCAGTGAGAGTGGAGTTGGCATAGCAGTACTGCTGCTGCTTACCTAATTTCAGGGTTTTGATGGCCTCCTCATCCATTACAAGCGGCGAACCGCCTCCTCGATGGCCTTCTCCAGTGGCCCGCGACCCAGCTTGCATGGGCGAAGGCTGCCGCCCACGAGGTGCATCACCGAATTGAAGGCGAGGCGCTCGAAAGCCGAATATGTGTGCTGCGACTCCAAACATCGATTGTGTATTTCGAGACAAAAGGGGACCACCTCCGAGGTCATCTCCTTTGTTAGCTTGCGCAGCGCATGGAAGCGCAGCACAACTCGCGGATACACCAGGTGCTTGATTATCATAGCCACATGTG